AGGAGGAGGAGGAGGAGGAGGAGGAGGAGGAGGAGGAGGAGGCTCAGTCATAGAAATGTATATAGCTGAGTCAGGATGCAAAAATCGTGTATGTTGAACACCAGCATCTGTGGTCTTAGCCTGCCTACTGTATCTTTCAAGCAGTGTTACAAGACATTTTAACAACTTGTTCACTTGTTTTATTTCCCTCAGCTCCCTGACTTGATTACAAGTGTAGTTTTCCAGCCTAGTGCTTATCACCTAATAGATACTTAATATAAGTTTGAATTAAATTATTTGAAACAGGACCTGTAAAATGGCTCCACAGGTAAAGGTGGTTGCTGCCAAAGCCTGACACCTGATTTTTGATCCCAGGAACCCACATGATAGAAGGAGAGAACCAAGCCCTGTAAGTTTCTTCTGACCTCCATAGGTATGCTGTGACACACATGTGCACACGTGCACACACACAACAAATAAATGAAAAAGCTTTTAATATTTGAATGATCAACTATTAGCTAAATGGAATTGTTATAACATAAAGGATTATATTTTATTGTATATTTTGTATATCATATTTATTATGTAGCTCAGTTCTGAGGCAGAAGAAAGTGGTTAAAAACCAAGCAAAGGTGTAGCTGCAAGAGACCCAGCTGGTACGATTCTTGGATAGCCTGCTTAGAGTCTGCTATGGATGAAAGATGCCAAAGTTTCAGCAGGGAGGATAAGTCTCTTCTAAGGTGGGAGAGCAGAGAGGGATGGAATGATGTTTATCAAGGATTTGGGGCAAAGATTTCTTAGGTCATGTTTATTTGAGAGAAATTCATATTACTATGTGAGAGCAATTTTATTTTTATTTATTTATTTATTTTTTTAGTTCTTTTGTGACAGGGTCTCACTATGTAGCCCTAGCTGGCATAGACTCCAGATATAGTCCAGGCTGGCCTTAAGTCACAGAGACCCACCTGCCTCTGCCTCCTGAGTGCTGGGATTAAAGATGCAATCTTTGAGCACCGACTTACCTATTGAAGTGGTAGATGTCTTGTATGTTTCCAAAAAGGGCGGACCTATCTTCAGTCCCCAGGGGAAGTGTGGTTTGGTCTCGGATACAGTCAAGGTAGTCCTGTGAAGTCAGTGAGAAGGATGACTTAAAACTCCTGACATTTTCCAAGACGTTTTTAATATGCAAGATGAATCATTGGCATCTATTTCAAGTAATTATGATACTAATATGCTCATTACCTCTACCGTGGAGTACAGATGCTCTCTCATTTATGATTTTAATACTTACCTATTTATAGAGCACGGTATTGTAACAAGGAGAAGAATTGGCATACATTAAAGTATCCACCACCTGCCCCCACCCCATATATCACAGCCTCCCTCCATGGATGCTGATCTCACTTAATAATAACGTCAGAGCTTTGGCATGACATCATCTTCTGTTTTCTTGACTGATTTGTCTCACTAAGAAAAAATTCAGGGGTCTCAGGAGGTAGCTCAATTGTTAAGTGCTTGCTGTACAAGCATGAGAACCTGAGTTTGACTCCTAGAACCCATGTAAAAAAAAGGCAGGTTGCTTGCTTGTAATTCCACCACTGGCAAGGTGGAGACAGGTGGATTCCTAGAGCTTGTTCAGTGACCAGTCAGCCTAGCCTAATTAGCAAGTCCCAGGCCAATGGGAGACTGTCTCAAAAAAGCACTTGAGGAACAACACTCAAGGTTGACCCCTGTTCTCCATATATAGACACACACACACACACACACACACACACACACACACACACATTCTCGCTCTCTCATATAGTGGGAAATCAGAATAAAAAATATGACACACTTGTTTTAAGCATAACCTTTATGCCAGAAAATATCATATGTTTAAGTATAGAACCAAATTTTTCTTCAGATACCAATTTGAGAACATTCTTTTAAAAAACACATAACCCACTGACACCAAGTGATAAGCTATGCTAATGAGAAAGAAGAATAATTTCACATGTTTAACATTTAAACAGCCCCTAAACATATCTCACATGGGGCAGACTCACAGAGGGTTAAACCAAGGCTCAGGAGCTATTGGGATTGCTGAGAAATGGGAAACTGCTTTCTGCCCCTTGTGTGCTACAGAGTTCATAACTCAATGTTCCCTTCTCCCAGCATCGCTGGAGAAAGAACTCAGTAGGAGGCAAGGACACAATAAAGAAAAAGTGGAAACAGCTGAAATAACCTAAAATAAAAAAATAAATATAGTCTCCTCCCCAGGGCTGTACAATACAGCACAACTTCTTCCCAAGTACAACACTGATCCGCAGTCTGTGGGAAGCGGGCCTGTGCAGTCCTGGGGCACACGGAGCCCAGATCCTGCCACAACTCCTTGTCTAGCAGAACACACCACAGTGTACTGAACTGGCCAAGGAGAAGCTGGGATTTCACACCCATAAGATCTGAATTTCCTCAGCCCTTTCCTAATTTACAGTGATTCTCACTCTTTCTGTTCCTTCAATGGAAAGTAAAGGCCTTGTTATTAACTTTTTGAAGTAGCCTATCTCAGTCTGTATAAAATGTTTTCATTGTAGTTTCTGCTAAAAGCATCGTTACACATGAGCTTTGCATTTTATTTTTTCTTTTCATTTTTCAAATTCATTTTTTAAAAAATTTTATGTGTATGAGTGTTATGCCTGCATGTGTGTAAATATATCTGTGTTGTGCAGTGCCCGTGGAGGGCAGAAGAGGACACTGGATGCCCTGGAACTGGATGGTTGTTAGCTGCCATGTGGGTGTTAGGAATTCAACCCAGGTCTTCTGCAAGAACAGCCAGTGCTTTTAACCTCTGAGTCATCTCTCCAGTCCCTCATTTCATTTTTTAAAGAAAGTGGCTGTCTCAATAAGAAAACAGGTTCACAAGGTTTCAATGTAGTTGGAATTAAAACCCCACAACAGCAAAGCTGATTGTTCTCACTGTAAGAAATGAAACAATGAGCAGGAGTTTATACTTTTCAGAGAAGCGAATTAATGCCCAACCAGGAGCAGCTGAAGAATGAACGGAAGGCACAGTACATTTTGAACAACATGTAAAACCTGCACTTCATCAAAAAGTATTTATCAAGGGCTGATGAGATGACGCAGCAGGTAAAGGTCTTCAAACCTGATGACCTGAGGTCCATCCTGGAATCCACATGGTAGGAGGAGAGAACTAATACCTACAAGTTGTCCTATGACCTGTACACAAGGGTCATGGCATGGGCTCTCCCCTCCACAAAATATCAAAACAAAGCAAACTCATCAATATTGCTGTTAAATTGCATGTGTTACACTAACATGGGCTAATATTCAACTTCATCAAACGTTTATATCAAATATAGATAGCAGCTTAAAACTTCAGGAGACTTTTTAAAAATTCTTTTTATTTTATGCGTATGCATGTATTGCCTGCATGCAGGTAAGTGCACCCGAGTCATGCAATGCCCGGGGAGGACAGAAGAGGCTGTCGGATCCCCTGGAACTGGAGTTACAGACAGTTGTTATCTGCCATGTGGGTACTGGGATTCAAACCCGGGTCTTCTGCAAGAACAGCTAGTGTTCTTAACTGCTGAACCATCTCTCCAGCCCCTCACGAAACAAACTTAAAAAGAATTATTTTATTAATGTGTGTGCATGCCATACAAGGTCTGGTGCCCTCGGAGGCCAGAGGTATCTAAACCTCCTAGAGCTTAAGTGACAAGCAGTTGTGAGCTGCCTGATGTGGGTGCTGGGAACTGAACTCGGGTCCTCTGGAAGTACAGCAAGTGCTCTTAACTGCTAAGCCATCTCTCCAGGCCCTCATTAGACGTTTTAAAAGGACACTTTGGATGTAGAATTAAGGAAGTAGAAACCAAGAACCTGGACATACCAATGCAGCAGGACGTTAGGTATGACAGGGAAGGTATGTGTACCAGATGCACCTGACCTGCCACAGCAGCTACACTGAAGGGCCACAGGAAAACATACAAGAATTTTTCTCACTTTCACTGTGAAGTTTGTTCACTTGAAGAAACTGTAGATCAAATTCTTCATATGAATGAAAGACCCAGTTAAAAGCCTTGAAGAATTTCATCTGGGGTTAGAGACAAAGCCTGTGGCCTCTTTCCAACACGAGATGGCCCACATCCAGTGGGAACCATTTCAAAATTCTGAGTTTGTGACAGAGACACTACATTTTAAATGCTGTTTAGTTTTCTGAAATTATTGAGAAAATAGGCCATTAGGAGTCCGAATTTTTTGCAGGTTACTCTAGATAATAGGTCAAAGTTCTATAGTCACAACTTCTTCCCCTACTGATCATAATTAACTCTTTTAAATATGATACTTTAACCCTGAACCAGTTACTGAACATTACTGTAGCATGTACTGCTCTGGCAGCTGTAATTATGTGAAGCCAAAATGAAAGGCTGGAAACTCGGTCATAATAACAGTTTGTTCTGTGCTCAAAATGACAGAGTGAGGACACCAATGAAATTTATGAGAGCCTGTCATGCTGCTTATTAATTTCACTGGCTTCGTGGCAACACCCATGGCTACTTTACTGCTCACAGCAAACCATCGATTGAAGATGTTTGCACTGGAAATCATTTTTTTTCTAAGAAAGAATTCCCTTTGTTTCAGCCAGAGAGCGAACAGTCATATACACTCAGAATCTTTCACCACCTGAATAATTTTCCATTTTGTGATTTTAAAAACTTGCTTGAAAATATTTAGGTTTTAAGTAGGTTATACTCCTAAGCTCTTTTCCATTATTCACACAGGACTGTTCTCTCATTAACTTTTATTCAAATATATTCAAGCAGATTCTAACTACATGCTGTTCAAGGTGTAGTAAGTGGTCAGAAAGCAGTTTGCAAACTGTTTTTGACCTGTGGCAATGTAAGTACAGAAATTAAACGTAAGCATGTAGAAACTCTGATAATAGTTTGAATATTTGTTGACTATATTATGAAATCTGTGCTTATTTGTTTTTCTTTGCTGTTTAATTATCCTTAATTCATTTTCTTATATTTTACAAAAGCACCACTGTGTGACAGGTTAGAAGAACACATACACATGAACACATACATACAAGCATACACATGAACACACACACACACACACACACACACACACATACACACACACACACAGCTCTTCACCATAGACAGTTTGAGAAATCCTGGTCTAGATAACCATAAAATCACATTAAATTCACTTACACAGTCCCCTTCTTGCCCTTTCTTTGAGAACATTAAGAATGAGTACGAAGTTCTGTTTTATAAGCTAGGTTTTAAAAAATGAATCACACAGGCAGGGTCCCTTCCTCCAAGGAGCTTCCTCCCTGTCTCACTGAGAATACAGTATCAGCAAACAGGTTCAATACAGTGTTCTGGTTTAGTGACTGATAAATCTTCAGGACAGAAGGGCAGCAGGCTATGTCTTAAGGGGATAATTATATCTGTCACAAATAAACTTCTATATTTGAATCACAATTTTATTTTCCCCAATGTGTGTACGTATATAACTCTTACATGTGAATATATTTCTTTTTCATCCTTTATATGACTGCATTGTATTCCATTTGACAGCCTTATAATGTAGTTATTAATAATTAGAGGTACATGCTATGTACTAGGCACTATATACAGGAGGGAGTATTTAGAAATGACAATATGATTCCTGTCTCTCTAGGTTCTTACCACATAAAAGCAAGGGAGAAAACCACTTAGAGAAATAAGTCACAGGATGACAATTTAAGTGCAATCAGAATTATTTACCAAGTACCACGAGAGTGTAGAAGAATCCATTTCCAAATAACAGAAACCTTTCACCTTTTTTTTTCCCAAATAATCCACTAAACAATCACAGTGGTCAGCACTAAAGTCCAAGAAGTTTAATCTGCTAACGTCTGTCCATTTCTTTCTCTATCCACAGCTTATATGGGGTGAAAGAAATGGGAGCTGAGGGTCTCGAGGGTCGGCCACCATCAGGCTGGAAACAAAAGCTGGCACTCTGGGGACAATGCTGTCTCTCTACTGCATGCAGCCTGCGCACCACAGAGAACAGAGTGGAAAGCGCCATAGATAAGAGACACCACAAAGATCTTCCTGCTGGTGATCA